ATGTATGATCTTGGACATTAATACCTCTTGAATTTGGATTTCATCAGCAATACAATGCAAAATTGTTTTATTGTGATTTAAACCAAAAATGTTTGGTAGACGAAAAGGGTCGAGTACTTGCTGGAGGATTTGGATACGTAGCTCTTGAATTGGCAATGACAGGTACACAAAAATCTTCACTTTTGTTTAGAAATTCTAATTTAATCTTTCATTGTTCAATGCTATGACAATTGTGTGATGTATGTAGGCCATATTGGAACCGAGGCCGATGTTTACACATTTGGTGTGATCTTGCTTGAGCTCTTAACTGGTCTCAAAGCTTTTGATACAGAAAGGAGTGATGACAAGCGAAGCTTAGCTGTCTGGACTAAATCTTACTTGTCCAATAAGATTGGAGAAATAATCGATCCACGATTTGGGAACGATTATCCCGTGAATGCAGCGACACAGATGGGCAAACTCATCAAAAGATGCATCGCGCAGGACAAAAATAAGCGACCATTGATGCAACAAGTTTTGGATGGTCTGAATGATATTGCAGAGATGAAGGACTGATGTGTAGAGGTACTGATATTTGACATTGGAACAGTTTGTAGTTTATTTGTAATAATGGAAAGAATCAGAGTAGTGACACAAAAATTGAAAGAGTTGGGGGTTCAAAGATATTTGAAAAACAAGAACACGCTTAGTAAAAATTTATCGATTCCAAAAAGCAGAGAGTGTTTTTTTTTTTTTGTTTTCTATGTGCACCATGCTCACCTCTCAAGCTCTCATCGTGTTCATCAACATCAAGGGAACTCCATGAGTTGGACTATCCCGCATTCTTCTATCATCCACCGATCGTTACGATTGAGCTTGAACTCAAAGACAAGCTCGCTGGAAGTCACATCCGCTTCGACTTGGAATGTGTAGAGATGCTCTGTTAAAGCTGGATGTAGCCTGTGCTCGCTGTTTCTACACNTAACCATGAGAAAATCTAGTCTACTACTACCCTCATATTCACCTTTATTAACAAGCGAGATACAAGCCTTAAATCTCATGGATGTAGGAAGAGGCCTCTCGTTCAACTTGAATCTCAATGAACCCCCCACTAGTAGCTTGGTGAGTGAAGTACCAAGGCACGATTCCTGGATATTTCCAGCAAACTCATTCAGCCAAAGCAACCAATGAAGACAAGATTCATTCAAATGAGTCATGTTTTCCAACTTAGATGTCAACTTTCATTCCAATTGTTTGATATAGCAAGAAGTTAAATGTGATCTCAAACCCAAACTTCTTGTTTGATATCTCACACATGCTTTGCTTTGAAGTTATTGTCACAGTGTTTTGCTTTAGAAAAGAATGGGATTTAGATTACCTTAAATCTTGTTATGTAAGGTAATGTTTTGGTAAAATAGACAAAACTATGGATACTATCAAAAAGGTGAATTATGAAATTAGAGCAACATGCTAGAGTTTTCTTATTATTTGCTGTTTTGTCGGTTGTCGGAAGTCAGGTTTAGCATCGCAGATTCTTTTTAACTCACCAATGCCAATCCTGCGGTATGGTGCAAGAACACCAAGTGTCATAATATACAGTCGCATGGCCCCGCCTTCTTTCTTCTCCAGCCGACAAGCGACATCTCCAACGCTTAATTATGTCACTGTAATAAGCTGAGAGGAAGCAAACCCATCAAAAAATTTTTTGGATAAAATGGGGAAAAATGTGAATATTATTACCAAAAGGAGCTAATTAGCAGAGAACTTCATTGGCCAAAAAAAGAAAGAGCAAAAAACCAAGAAGTTTCGTAGAGCAACAGAACATGTTTCAAGAGATTAGCTATAACGAGACCATTGAGAAAGGAGGCCACAGCATCCTTTGCGAAATCGCCTGGCAAGTAAAGTATCTCTCTTATGGATCTATCAATCTGCACAAAAATGGACTCCGAGATGATTACGGATCCGACTGTTCCGTTCTTTCCATAACCCGTATACCGTTGCTTGAGCTACGATTCTGTTCAACATAGTTGATTTCCCATTGCCTGACCTAATCAATAACCAAGAAATCATAGTTCTCCAAGAGTGGAAAGTATGAAGAGGCAATCCTAACCGATGGGAGGATCTTTTCCAAAATCAGATTAGAGAAGGTGCAGTTAACAAATAAGTGGTCTCTTGTTTCCTCTTGAGCAGAGCAAAACGTGCACATCATGTCAGACCCCAGTTTGCCAACCTGGAGCAGAGCAAACCCATCATTGGAACATCAAAAAGTTCTCGTGTCTCACCAACTGGAGAAAACAATGTAACCCAAAGAACAACACTTGCCAAACTAACGGATAACAACTAGATAGTGCCGGGTGAGATGTTAACACTTTGCTGTCATAAAGTTTCATAATTGCAGATTTTACAAGATAATCATACAACAAACAAACTGGTTTGTGCATACCAAGATGCATAAAGGTACAAAAGTGCGCAGCCATTACACAATACTAACCACGAGACTCAGAAAACGGGTGTAAATCAACTAGCGATTAGAAGCTAGGTGATAATACCAACATAAAAACTTCCACTCGATTACAAAAAATAGTCTTTAAACAACGGTCAGGGTAATACTTTACTTACAAAGAAACAAACAAGAACTCTTGAGAACGAACAGTTCATAAATCCCAAAGGAACTAACTTTTTTACTAGTTAAATTGCTCCATAAGGC